TTATAAAATTTTTTCTATTTTACTAAATAAAAAATAAAAAATCGCGATGAGCGACCTGTTAATATTAATATTAAAGGCTAAAATTTTAACAGGTATCTTATTTTACCTTCCTGCAAGTATATATGCTTTTCGTGAAATGAAAAAAAAAAATTGCTCCAAAATGACACACCCTAATATATATGTATATCGATAGATTTTGTATAAAAAATTTTGACACAAAAGTAAACATTTTTTCTTGAGACTTCTAAAGTATCGTTATTTTTAATTAAATCCAATTATGTACCATAGGTATGAGGATAATCGAACAGATCGTAAACGTTGGTACAAAATGCAGATATCTATCGCGAATTGGATGGTACGGCCATAGTCCTGCTAAGGTCATGTATAATCTAGGAATTGCGTAATACCGACTTTGCCAAATGTCCTTTCGCTCGGTCATTCTTAGAAATACTAGGAATGCGAACTACATCGATGACACTTGCTTTACTTTGCGTGTGCTCGCTGTCAAGCGAAGCGCCGGGACATTAACGATTCCTTGTGTTGCAGGATGGACTTCCGTAATTATGCCATCATGGCATAGTGCGCAATTATTTGCACGCACTGAAACCCTTTTCATCTCAGCTTTTCATCACAACAATTGGCTTTTCATTATCACGATCGACTTTTTCGCAATACGTGGAAGTAGCGTGTTCTATCGCCCGAACAATTTGCGTGTTTAATGCGTGTGTACGACGCGCGCATGATATGTCACTATTAACCACGTGTTCGCGAAACAATGTTGTCTTAAACAATAAGTAGAAAAAATAACATAAAAGGCGTGCAAAAATGTAAAGTGATATCAGTATAAAAAAATATGACATAATTTAGTTAAAAAATGTATCTATCCTTTCAGTCAAGTTATGTTTAAAAGTGAAATTGTATTTGAATGAAAAATATATAGCTCTAAAAAATTTCGTAGTCTGTACTAGAATAATAAAGCTCGAACGTTATAAATATATAAATCGACGTAATTGAAGCGTGATACACCGAATATAAAAAGTGCCACAGTTATTCACGTTTCTGATATTTCAGATAGCTAAATCTGCCGAAAAAAATGTTGCAAAATGTCTGTTACAAATTTTGTCGACAGAATGTCAGTAGAAATATAACAAAATATGACGATAAATCGATTAATGTATTATAAAACCGAGCAGAACCTATTTGACAATTATTTAAATTCCAATTAAATGATTAATGACAAATTCTGCTTTGTATTCTTTTGCAATCTGTTATCAAATTATGTCGATAGAATCCGTTGGCAGACCGCGAGCTTAAAGCAAAAGTTGATGTCAATATTCCGCTGCAATATTCTTCTAAATTTGCTGAAAATTGCTAGTATACTGCTAATTGTGTTTACATGAGATAAGATGCAAGATTCATATATAGAGAAATATTATATACTTATCTTAATAAAAAGCCGTATACTGCTGTACACAATATACAAGATGATGGCTGAAAACCTGTTTGTAGTGTCGCTGAAGAAATTTATACGGTATAAATATTTACTATAAAAAATCGTTGTTTAATATTACATTTAAATACTAATGATGTTATATTGTAAGCAGAGATCGGCAAAAAAATTTTTTATTATTTCTTTTTTAAATATCAAAGCAATCATTATCTTAAGCAAAAATACAATATTAAGTGCCAAGAAAAAAAAAATTTTTTATTTATTTTTATTTACCAAGCAATATGTAAATAATTAAAAAAAAAGATTATTTTTACCAAAATTGTTAATAATTTAACATCATACTATTATATAAAACCCGATTGTTTGTCTGTCCGTCTGTCCGTCCGTCTGTCCGCGAACTATTCATTCGTTAGTCGACCGAATTTTTACCAAAGGTATATGAAACAAGGGTAGAATTTCCCGGGAAGTGCCATGATGTGTAGAGTTTTTCGTTACCGATTTTCTGGAAACCGGTTTTTCTAATTTTTTCAAATTTTTGGGAAATAATTGACCGAATCTCAAAGAATTATAGATCAAATAGGGGTAGCTATTTCCGGGGAGTGCTATAAAGTGTATACTTTTTCGTTACCAATTTTTTTGGAAACCGATATTAAAAATTTTTCCAATTTTTCGGGAAATAATTGACCGAATCTCGAAAAATTATATATGAAACAGGGGTACAATTTTCTGGGAAGTGCTATAAAGTGTATAATTTTTTGTTACCGATTTTTTGGAAACCGGTTACGAAATTTTTCCAATTTTTCAAGAAATAATTGACTGAATCTTAAAGAATTATATATGAATTAGGGGTAAAAACAACTACCTAAAGAATGTAATAAAATAAGAAAAATTGCTAGTAATAACAGAGTTTCCGATTTCTGTTTAAAAAAATGTACGTGATTGCTCCAATTTCCGCAAATCTGTAGTATCTAATAAGTCGAGAATTATAATTAATTTAAAAATGGAAAAAAATAATTTTTAATTTTCCAAAAAATTAGTAATTAAATATTTTCTAATTTTTCAAAAAATTAACAATTAAATAAAAATAATTTCTGTTTATCATCCTTGACTCTGAACTAGGCCTCTTGGCAAAGACAAGCATAAACATGAAATAACTGATAATTTTGGCGTATATCTTTTAAACTATTACAGATAGGCTAATTTTGTTTAACCCTTACTTGCTACACTTCTGTAGACGTCACGTACTTGCCACATTGGGGTGGAATCTACCCCAGCGACAACAATTGTTATAACAAATAAGCTATTCAATATTTTAACTTGCCAATTTTTTTAGAACTTCTTAAAAGCTTACTTTTAAAAGTTATGTAGGTTATATAGCCAAAAATTAAAATTATGTATAATAAAAAAATTAAAATAGTAAAAGAAAAATGAAAAAATGGCTGTTTTTACAAAGAAATTTATTATTCGAACTATTGACAGTTGTCGTTATAAACCCGCTCCCCATAGGTTTCGATACTTAAAATTAAGGGAATATGGTCGTGGGGTTGATTTGATCCCAGTGTGGCAAATAAGGGTTAAGGCTTTTGAAAGCACATAAAAAGCATATTTAAAAGCACATTAAAAGCATAAATGCTAATTCTAGCATACTGAGTTTTTTATTTTATATGTAATTTTAATGAGTGGAGGTGCTAACTTACGTTAAGCACTCCCACTTTCAGTTGTGATTTCCCACTCAACCACTCGAGCACAAAAATTATGAATAGAGCATAGGGGAGACCGGGGCGAAGTCGGCCCTATTTTTTCGGTGCCGATTTTTAACAAAATAAATCATTTTAGTGAAATATAGTATACCATTGTAAAGAGTGAACTCTTGGCTACAAAGTTTATATAGGCATTTTTAGTCTACGTCGCTTTGTTCAACCGGTATAGAGTAAAAACGACAAAGGTGCAAAAATCAAAAAGTCAAAATTCCCGGGGTAGAGTCGTGTCTTCATTCTCGGACTGGATTTTAAATGAAAATTCATAATTCCGATCATGAAAAATGATAGAATACATTTTATTAATTATTTTTTAATAGAAAAATGGAAACATTAATTAAAAACACGATGGCGGAAAATAATTACAAGAAAAGCGCACATGCTTGTGTGTCCTACGCTCGCACGTTTCTCGTCAGCTCTATTCTGTCATCTCTGAGCACACGCAGCACATATTATCCTCGCCGGAATCCGATCACTGCTGCTTTTTTGACTTTGATTTTTGGCGGAAGCCTCCATGATATGGCTTGGTCACGACTTCCCCCTGAATACAAGTTTTAGGTTTGGTCGCTTATAAAATAATAGAAATCAATGGAAATAAAAAAATTGCACTGGATTCGTGTTCAGCATGCATTACTCTTTAGAATCACTTACTTTGAGATTCGGAGACACAATAATATTTAAGATATTACAAATTTTCGACGCGTAAAAAATTTTACTTTCGACCTCCGAAAACACGTTTGCCTCGATAAGAATCACAACATGGCACATAACCTCACTAAACTTCGATGGTCACGTGGGCACCATAAGCCGCGTTTACAGTATTAATGGCGAGTTCACACAACATACAAATTTCGAGATAATTGAATAGTCGAGAAAAAAAGACTCCGCCCCGGGGCCGACTTCGCCCCGGTCTCCCCTAATTAGCATATAAAGACTACTTAAGGATGTATGGGTGACATCTCAAAGCATTACCAAAAATCTAAAAATTTCATAGATTGTTCTATTATTACGTCTAAGTATCTGTGTAAAATTTCAGCACAATTTTCTTACTGGTTTAAAAGTTATTTAATTTTTTTGTTTGCATTAATTTTTATCATATCTCGGGATTGGCTGCACCAATCTTATTCGGACTAGTCGCAATCGAAAGCTTGTATCGACATTATATTTAAAAAATGTCGTTAGATTTTTTATTACGGCTTTAATTTCTGAGATATTTTAATCAAAAATTTGTTGACGTATGAAATTTCTTCTTATTCTTATAATTTGATAAGGAAGTAGCATTACGAATTAAATCAAATTTTGTACATATGCTAATAAAACTATGATAAATATTCGTACAAAAGTTCATTTGGATCCACTTACTCGTTTAAAAGTTATTTACCTAAAACTGTAGCAAAATGTGGTCAGTACGCTGCATAACCCATTTTAGTCTATGTGACTTGGCAACATCGCAGTGAGGCAGTACAGATCGATGTATTGAAAGTGTAAACAGTTCGAGTCAATATCAAAATTTTATCGAAATTTTGTTACGATATTCAACATTTTTCGGCATTTTGATTCCGCGCTTGAAAGGTGACAGGCAGTAATGCCAACGTAGAAAATAATGCGGTGTTGCATATTTAAAGCTGGCATTAAATGGTATATTTTAGGTTTACATTTTGTTTTAAAATTATTAATTAAATAGGGGAGACCGGGGCTAGACCGTTAGTTTTTTTTGGTGCCGATTTTTAACAACAAAATAAATAATTGTAGTTAAATGTGGTATACCACTGTAAAAAGTGAACCTTTAGCTACAAAATTTATACAGGAAATTTTTATCTACGTCACTTTGTTTAACCGGTATAGAGCAAAAACGACAACGGTGCAAAAATTGAAATCTCAAAAATGCCGTGGTTGAACCGTTACTCCCCCGGAGTAAATCCGTTACACTGCATTTTCAATACATATACGTACATCTAATCCTGAAAAATGATAAGATACATTTTAATAATTGTTTTTTAAGAGAAAAATAAAAATTTATCTCAAATTTTTATGCAAAACATTAAAAAATAATTGTTTTACCTATTCCATAAAACAATTTAGGCACGTGAATACAGATTCTGACGAGCGCACGACGACGATGACGACGGCCACGACCATCACCACGACAACGACGATGACGGCCACGACCAACACCACCATGACGACGACGACGACGATGACGGTCACGACCACCACCACCACCACCACCACTACACTGACACTGACACAACGACCAACAACTACGATCTACCGCGGCCGGGACGATCTGCCACGCGCGCGGCATGTCAACTCTCGCGCGGAAATCGCGGAATCTCAGAGCCGTGCCGTGCCTCGCCATACCTCGCCGACGTGCCGTGAGCGCGAGAGAACTCGAAAACAACGGTCCGCCATCTTTTCGGTCGGCCAAAACACCCGTTTTGCGATGATACGTACGTACCATTTCCTTCCTATACAAACTGACGCATGTGCAAGGGAAGACAGAATCACGCCGCTCGAGGGAAACCTAACCTGAAATCGCAGTGAGCGGCGTGAGCTAAAGTCGTGCGCCCGGCGCGCCACAGTGACGAGACTAGCGGACCAGCCCCGGGTGCTTACTAGCGGATAAGCCCCAAACATAAGTTTCAGGTTTGATCGCCCACGAAATATTAAACATTAACGATAATGAAAAAACTACACTGGATTCGTGTTCAGCATGCATTACTCTTTATAATCACGTACCTCGAGATTTAGAGAGCAAATATTATTGCAGATATTACAATATTTCCACGCGCAGAAAATTTCACTTTCACCTTCCGAAAACACGTTTGCTCTCGTAAAAATCATAACACGGCAGGTAACCTGCCGAAACTCCGTTGGTCACATGGGTACCATAAGCAGCGTTTACAATGTTAATAGCGAGTTCGCACAATATACAGGTTCCGAGATATTTTATTTAGCGGATTTACCCCGTTAGCGGTCTAGCCCCGGTCTCCCCTATATATAACTTATTACTTTTATATTAAATATATATTTAAATTATTCGATACCTATAGTAACCAAAAATCGTCTTATAAATTATTCGTTTTTTCATTTTTTTATAGTTGATTTCAGAGCATTTTCAAGACCAAAAGTTTCTGTCGTTAATTATGATAAATATTAATTATAAATATTCCCTTTTTTGAAGACGTTAAAAATCATGTTATTTTACGATAGTTGAACTTCTTATGTAATATAAATTTATTTATTTTATATTTCAAACGATATAAATCTAAGAAATCTGCAGTTTTTAAATTTTAATCACTTTTTGCTGGTATTGTACATCCTTAATTTCTGTATGTGTTATGTTGGTTTTTTGTAAAAGGAGTGCTAACTTAACAGACATTTTTTAAACTGCGTGCCAATAAAGACTTTGTCGGACTTAAAACGCAATTGTGTAAACTGAAACTAGAAATAATATCTCATATTAATTTGACTGTTAAGTAAAATAATATACTACAAGAATATTTATAATAGTTATACAAACTTATGGATAGATCAGCTTGTTAGACACAAATTATTTTTTATGCCGTGTAATTATGTTTTTGTAAAAGTCGTTAACAAAAAAATAATAAAGACATTTACTACTGTATTATTGTAATAAAAGCCAATTAAATATAAAATTTAATCTGTACTATACTTTATTTTCCAATTAACTTATCATAATTTTCCCAAAATCAAATTAATACCTACTCAACATTGGTCTAACTTTTTAATTTGAATCAAATATTTACATGTTAAGTCCATCCATATTTAATCTACATAAGTGATTTTATTAAATGTAAATTAAAACCATTTTTAAACAAATATAATCTTAACTTAAAATCTGGGTTTAATTTGAGTTTTATACATATAGACATATTGGATCTGCCATTTTGAATCTCATTCATTTGACTAGATAACACTATAGATATTTGTGTAACAACTGCGGGAAGTTGAGAATTGGACACGGGTGCGGAGTGGACGCACGAGCCGAAGGCGAGTGCGATCACCCGCACGCGTGTCCAATTCTCAACCCGCACGTGTTACACACCCTATTTTATATTACAAAGTGCGTGGAAAGTGGCCCATTATTGCGCGCGCGTCATCTGTGCGACGGATGGCCGATTCCATACACGAGTCAAAACAGTGCGGTAATGTTTACATTACCGCACAGTTTCGAAGAAACAGTGCGGTAATGTTACATTACCGCACTGTTTTGACTCGTGTATGGAATTGGCTATTTGTCACACAGATGGCGCGCGCGTAATGGGCCACTTTCCACGCACGTGTGATATAATAGTTATTTGTGTAACAAGTGCGGGAAGTTAAGAATTGGACACGAGTGCGGAATGGACGCACGAGCCGAAGGCGGTGCGATCACCCGCACGAGTGTCCAATTCTCAATTCGCACGTGTTACACACCCTATTTTATATTACAAAGTACGTGGAAAGTGGTCTATTGCGCGCGCGTCATCAGTGCATAAATCATCATGTGCGCGTCATCTGTCATGACATAAATGTCACGCGTTTTATTTATAACACGTTCATAAAAATCCGAGAATTTTTGAAAAGTTTAGAGAATTAATGTGTATGTTTTGCTGCTTTAAGATTGCCATATTGGATCCGCCATTTTAAATATGACTTATTTAATCAAATATTATTTAAGAGTATGAGTAATATGATTTCTACCTATAAAATGTTCATAGAAATAAAAAATTCGTCAAAAAATACAAGAAATAACTAAGTCTTAGTCACTTCAGCTATGCCTATTCTCTAACTTTTTAACGACGATGTCGCTATCGTTATGTAGCGACGATTGTCGCTTGCGCGAACGACACTGTAACGATAAAGCTTAGACTAACTTAGACTAACGATACCGTATCGATACAAAATGCGGTACCGACGTCGTTACCGAAACGAGTATACTCGAATTCATATAACTCTATCGCTGTCGTATTCAGCCAATAAAATCTCGTCTTTGAAACATCCTTTCTGATAAGTTTAAGGACGTTAAAATAAGTTGAGGGGGTCGATTGTGTATCTTCTCGGGAAAAAATGTTTATATACAATTTTATCTAATTATATATAACTTTGTAGATATAATTATACATGGATTTTGACCTGATCTAATTATATATAAATAGATAAAATTGTATATGATTATATGTAATTAGATCAAACTATGCATACTTCATATATATATATTCATTATATATATATATATATATATATATATATATATATATATATAAATATTTTTGGATACAATTAGATCAAATCTTTAATGGGTCCATTTTTGTGGTAAATATGTAGAATCAAAAGTGAAATGATTTATTCCATATATTATAATTTGGCACTGCTTGAGACAGTGCCGTGTCTCTTGATACCGTTTTTATACTACTGTCCGTCAAATTTTAAATATGAGAAACAAATCCTATCAAATGCCATATTGGATAATCCAAATTTAAAGTTTATATATGATTATATATAATTATATATAATCTTTTTTTATATTTGTAACACACCAAATTTAATAAACTCTATTATGTGAACAATAAAATATATGTGTACGCATACATATAAAAATAAAATTACATTATTCTATACTAGAAAAATGGTATTTTTACGCGAATTCATTATTTATTATTTCAATCAAACATTAAAAAAATATATATAATTATATCTAATTTGGCGCAATTATATATAAGTTTGTATATAATTTGATGTATCTCAACTCGAAAAAAATTCTAATATAACTGCATAATTTGATATGGAGTTATAAATATTTTGATGTAATTACATATAATTATTTACTCGAAAAAGACTTTTAATATAACTTTACATAATTTGATATGGAGTTATAAATATTTTGATATAATTACATATAATTATTTACTCAAAAAAGAGTTTTAATATAATTGTATAATTCGATGTGGAGTTATACATATCTTGATATAATTACATATGTAATTATTTACTCAGAAAAGAATTGTAATATAATGTTGCATAATTTGATATGGAGTTATAAATATTTTGATATAATTGCACATAAATAAATTATATATATTTTTTTATTAAAGATAATGATTCCCTTCTCGGGATACATGGCGTTTTACAGGGACCAACCCTTCAACCCTTTACATATACCCGTAAAATTTAAATCAAAACCTGGCCTTTGTGCGACCTTACAATACTGCTGTTCTCTCTCCCTCCTCATTCTGATGACGCCTAGCATCCAATCCACTCCCTCTCCTCCTTCTGACATTATTGTTGATTTCGGTATGCCCATTTCCTTGGTTTCTGTGCATTCCGTCAGAATATGGTTCCAGGTTTACTTTCTCTCCACATAATCTGCATTCTCTTTTGCTGTCCTCCTCCCAATATTCATCTCCTCTCCATTCGTTGCAGCATCTGAATCTGGCTATGGTCTTCAGTCTTTTTCCTTTTCCTTTTTGGCCCAAGTATTTCGCTCTTCCTATTCCCCTCCACCTTTTGTATTCTTTCGCCGAACCTGACTCTTCTATTTTATTTTCCCTTTCTTCCAGCTGCTTTCCTTTATACTTTTTCACCCATTCTTCCACTGTATTCATTCCTTTGTCTTCCTTTGTCTTCTTAGCTTCTTTTTCCTAACGGCTCGTTCCTCCTGCTTCATATAGTTCTTTCATTCTCTTGCCCCAGTTTGTACTTTCCCACTCTATCTTATCCATTTCTCTTCTGCACTCTTTTAGTATCACGTTTCCTGACTCGTTCTTTATTCTGTCTAGGTACCTTATTGCTCTTCCTCCCGCTTCTAGGCTTATCTTCTCTATGGTTGTCTCCTCTCTGACTATGTATCCTGGAGTACACCTGTCCAATCCAAGAACCCATTTTATGTACCTTTCTTGTAGTGCCTCGACCTTTTTCCATTATCTCCATCCCCATACTTCTACTCCATACAACATGATGCTTTTCACCATAACATTGAACATCATAATTCTTCTGTCAAAGTCTCCTCTCCTCTCTCCTATTCCCCATATCTGTGCCATGGCTGCCGCCGCTTTTTTGACTACGTCCCTTATATGTGCATCGTCCCTGTTATTCTTCTTAAACGTGAAACCTAAGTATTTGAATTCTCTTACTTCTTCTAGTTTTTCATTTTTCCATTCCCACTTTCTTTCTTGACTTCTTTCTTTTTTGCAGAAAACTAGTATCTTGGACTTACCCGCATTTATAGGGTTAATCTCTTTTCTTCGAGATATTTTTCGAGAGTTCTCAACATTCTCTTCATGTCCTTCTCAGACTCCGCCATCATTGCCAGGTCGTCTGCATATGCGAGTATAAATATTTTTATTCTGCCGATTACCATTCCTCCGACTTGTCTCTTCTTCAAGAATTCCTCCTGTTGATGATTTAAAGAATGTTTACCCCTGTATTGCGGATTACAAAACTCTTTATTCGTACACACGTAAATCTCTTGCAATCGTTACAATGTGTCTCTACACAGATTCTGATTCTCTGCGAGTCCGTGCGGTAAGACCGGAAGCTAGTAACTAGTAACTAACGTTCATCGCGCCGTCTGTGTCGCGCTAAACTAACTATTACCGAAAAATATTTAATTTGGAACGCTTGAATATGAACTCCCGTAACACCTCCACATCTGCCAAATATAATATAAAGAGTAGTGGGCTTAGGGGGCAGCCTTGCCTTAATCCCCTCTCTGTCCAGAATATTTCTGTTACCTTGTTTCCTGATATCACTCTAGTCGTAGTCTCCTTGTATGAATCTTTTAGTCTTTTTATTAGTCTTTCACTAATTCCTTGTTCTTTCATGTTCTTCCATAGCAACTCCCTATCTACCTTGTCGAAAGCCGCCTTTACGTCTGCAAAAAATACGTATAACTTTTCCTTCTTTTTTACTAGCACCTTCTCCGCTGCTGTTTTCAATGTATATATATTATCTGTGCAGCTTCTTTTTTTTCTAAATCCTGCTTGTGTTTCCGGTAATATTTTAAGTCGATTTGCTTCCTCTCTTAACCTTCCTTCCAGAATTATCGCGTATATTTTGTATGCCGTGTCCAGAAGTGAGATCCCTTGATAATTTCCTGTTTCCTTTTTGTTACCCTTTTTGTGTATTGGGTATATTCTTCCCTCTTTCCATCCACTTGGTATCTCTCCTTCTTGCCATATTTTTTGTAAAATTTCTCTTAATTTTCCCTTTGTTTCCTTGTTCGCATATAACCAAGCTTTATTTTTTATACCGTCTTCTCCCGCTGCTTTCTTCTTCTTTAATCTCGCTATTGCTCTGCCTACTTCCTCCTCTGTTGTATCATCCGTACTTTCCTCTATACTTCCTTTTAATACTTCCTCTTGCTGCTCTTTTGGTTCTTTGTTTTTCTTTCTTGTATCTCTTTCCTCTAGTAATTCCATAAAGTGTCTTTTCCATTGTTCTTCTCCGATGCTATTATCCGGCTTCTCTCTTCCTCCTCTCTCCTTCTTTATGTACTTCTAAATTTCCGTTTCATTGGTTATTTCTATTATCTTTTTCTGCTCTATTTCTCTCTCTTTTCTCTGTTTCTTTCCGCACAACTTGTTGTGTTTTCGTTTCTCTTCTGTATATCTCCCTTTTTCAATTTTCCCTTTCTTTATTTGCCTTAACACTCGGTTCAATCTTTTTTTGCTTCCTCTGCATTCTTTGTCCCACCACTTCTTCTCTCCTATCTTTGGTTTTTTAATCCGGATAACTTTTTTATACACTGCTTTTCTGACTTCCTCGACTAACTCATCTCATTCCTCTTGAATACCTTTTTTTCTGCTTTTTTTTCTCTAAGTTTTCTCTGTAAGAAGTTACTCCCTCTTCTGACCAGTCTTCTATCTCTTTCTCTTCCTTTTTCTCGGTTTCTTGTTCTAATTCCACTTCTGCGGTTGTCTGTAGTATTAATTCCAACGGCATGTGGTTTGATTCGGTTCTTTCTCCTACTTTGAATTCTTCTATTACGTCCCAAGCTTCTGCGTTGCAAATTGCATAATCTGTTACCAAGCTTCCTAGTGTTCCCGCAAACGTCCATTCTCCTTGCTCGTCACCCTCCATAGTTCCATTCAGTAATCCAAGTCCCATTTTTTCTACTGTCTCTATAAGTTCAGCTCCCTGTCTGTTTTCAGTTTTATCCTTTGACTTCCTTATTCTATCCTCTTCTTCTCCATTCCACAAAATTCCGCCTTTTTCGGCTGTTTGGGCGTTGAAGTCACCACCTATTATTGTTTTCCTGTGACCTTTATTTTCTGTTAATTCCTCCATCTCTTCTAAGAGAGCTTTCTTTCCCTCCCTGTTGTATATTGATATAATCCTCCATTTTTCCTTCCCGATTTGCACATTACAGCTGATTATCCCTTGGCTGTCCTTTTGTACGCTTTCTTTTTTTATTGCTTTCCTTATTCCGGTTATCATGCCTCCAGATCCTCTGCCCTTCTTTTTATCTCTCTTTGCATATTGTATTTCCCAGTTAAAGTCCGTTGGCAGCAGATGCTCTATCTTCTTCCACCCTTTCTCTTCTATCCAGGTTTCTGTGAGGTTGACTATGTCAAACTTTTTCACGTAGTCCCAGAAATCTCTATTTTTCCTTGATAGACCAGCCACATTTCAAAACATTATACTTATTTTCCTTTTATCTTCCTTGTATTCATTGTTTTTATTCTGTGTCTTCTCGGCCTTCTCTACTCCATTCTCGTGCCGTCCTCTTCGCCTCTTTCGTCGGCCTCCGCTTGGAAAAACGTCTGCAATTCTAACTCTGCTTTGGTTTCATTCCATCTGTACCATTTATCTTCTATTTTTAACTTCCAATATCTAACTACCACTTCCTTTCCTTGCGTTCTCTGTTCTTTTGCCATCTTTACAATCTTCCTTTGTATTTCCCTTGCTTTTACCGTTCTGTCGTTTTCAATGTAGATTTCTTCTCTTCCCAGTCGGCTTTTACTTCCCATTATTTTCCTTTTATTTTCTTGATCCTTTATTTTTGCCTGTATTATTTTTTCTCCTCCTACTAATCTTGCTCTTTCCACCTTCGCCTCTACTCCCAGCCGCTCTTTCACAAATTCTTCTACTTTCTTTTCCAGGCCTCTTCTTTCCCTTCCTACATTCAAGCCTTTTATAATAATATTATTCTTTCTTTCTTCTCTGTCCTTTTTCTCCATCATGATTTCCATTTCCTTTACTTGTTTCCTCAATTCATCTGTATTTTCGCTTGTTCTCGGTATATTCTTCTGATTGCCTTCCTCGATCTTACTAAGTCTAGCTTCTATTGTTTTGATTTTATTTGCTTGCTCGCTTCCCGATAATTTCTTCTCAAAATTTTTTAGCTTTCCCTCTATTTTCTTTTCTAGATCCCTTTCTCTTAAGACATTTCTCTCTCTTTCGGCACGCAATTCCTCTTTCAGCTGTTGCACTTCACTTTTAATTTCTTTATTTTCCTGCGTGAGCATATCCTTCATGTCTCTCATTTGCATTGTCAGTGCTATCAGAATGTCTTTTTCACTCTTTTCATCCCACATATCTTCCATTTCTCCGTCTCTATTGTTCTGCAATTCTTTATTTTGTGCAAAGGCAAACGTACTCTTTCCTTCTTGATTCGTATCGTCGCCTTTCAGCCGCGAGTCCCTCTCGTCGTTCCTCCGTTTGCCCTTTTGCGCGTGCTCTTCCCCTTCCGGTGAGAGCTCACCTCTCTTTCTCTTTATTACGAAATCAAGTATCGAGCCGCAACTCTGCGTTCTCTCTCTCACCAGCCTGGCGGCCTGACTCGGCCTTCCCCTTCTCGCTGGTGTTATCGTCTTTTCCCACGTTTCTCTTTCCGCAGAGTCGGCTGGTTCTCTTTCTCTCGTTATTCTTTCCTGGGACTTATCGTCTGTCTCAGCTGATAATCCTTTCTCCGCTGTCTTTGCTTCCTTATCTTCCACACAGATGGCCCTTTTCCGCTCTCCATGCACCCCTCCGGTGCCTTGCGGTTCTTTTTAACCTCACTTCCTCGCAGCCAAACAGAGTCACAAATCCTCAAAAATCGTCTCCCTTGCGGCTCCCGCGTTGCTTCCTTATATTTGCGATTAAACTTGCAAATCTGCGCATGCAAAATACCTGAAACCAAATCGCCCTAGGGTGATGGAACGGCAGATAAACTCGGAAATAAGTCGACGCGTTTGACAGACGTGCTTCTGCTTACTTACTCCGTGGAGATCCATAAATGAATTATATGTTATTGTTAAATAACAAAGGTGCTCAATTCGCCACAGTCCATCATCCACGCTCCACAGTCGAGTCGCGTTGACGAGGGAGGAGACACTACGTGTTTATGTTCTTTCGTAATTCTTTGCCCGCCGACAAGGCGCTCAATCCTTTGGACGCAACGTTTCTCGAGTTTTGTTTCGTTTCGCGGAAGCGAGACGTTTTTTCGGATTGTGTCAGCGAAACACCGTCTTGCGCCGCGAGATTATTCGGATCTATCTCGTCGAAAGTATTTACTGCTTGAACATTCAAGGAATGATTGCCATGATGATTGACATATGATTTTTCATGAATATGCGGCGCAAGAATATTTATGTATGTACAATCGATGGCTCCAGTAACTCCAGGAAATGGCTGTGCAGCTTGTGCAAATCTATTCTGTACTGCAGCTTTTTCTTTTTCTTGTGCCGTCATAGGAAATTTTATCCATTGGCATAATAAACGTATATTTATCAATCGTGCCACTTTGCGTATACAACAGCTAGCAGTTGGCTGACTTACTACTAATTCACATTGGTTTTCAGCTGGTCTTTGATAACTGCCGTGAGCAAAGAAACCAATAGCTACTTATTGGAGTTCTGGAGACAAGCCAGTTATACGTTGTTTTTGTAAATCTTGTCTCAAAGCATTAACAATTTGCATGACTAAATCTTGAGAAAGTTTAAATTGTGCAATAAATTCATGTCGAGAAAGTTGAAATGGATTTTGAGCATCGCGCATCAATCTTCTTTCTACTTTTCTTTTAAGTCTCCTAACTCTTTCTTGTAACATTCCATGCTAAATATACTTCAGCCATTGTACCTTCAAAGACACGAAAAGATTAATTTATCAAAATTTAAAATTAACAAAATTTTTATTAAAAACATATATGATTTATACTTCATGTAAAGATTATAAATAAAATATAACCTAAAATTATTTTTTATTTGATTAATTTTAGATATTAAGACATTTGTATTATTTTCATACTTATTTTTTGCTGTAATATTATTTTTTGCGAGCATTCCTTAATGATATATTTTTATTATATAAAAAATACACTGTATTTACTCGCACACTTTCTATACACTTTACTCGGAGCCTCGGAGCCACTCAAAGTTATTGGTCGCTATGTCTAGTTATGTTGTGTTGCTATTGATTATCGAGGGGTACGAGACCCCTCGATAATCTAACGACAAAGTTCGATATTTTATCGACAACTGTAACGACATTTATCGTTACACTGAATTACAGAATACCACTTTTTGTTATAGTGTCGTTAAGTCTGCATAACGATATCCCTAGCTAGTAAAATTGTCGTTAAAAAGTTAGAGAATAGGCATACACAGGGCCGCCATATCGGACCCGCCATTTTGAAAATTGATCATTGCGTTAATCATCGTTAGGAGACTCGATAATTATCATCTGAACTCATAATAAGCTTCGAATAATGTAATAAATAATAGATATTAGCGAAAAACTCTAATTTTGGGGACATTTTTACGTTTTAGCCGCCATTTTGGAAGGAAAAGTCATCAACATAAATATCAAAAAATTTCCTGTTGAACTTCAACAATTTTGTGCACCGATGGTTGAGCGATATTCCAGATTTCTGCGCGATTTCAGTCCGAAAAAAAATCATAAACATTAAGAATGAACAATTTTTTCTCATTTTTTTGTACAGAGACCGCCATATTTAATTTTGTAGTTGGAAATTCTCTATTCTGAGCCCAAATTCTGTTAGAGCATACCCGAAAATATAAGGAACACTAACGTTGATCCATTTATTCTTCTGTTACAGGCATGAAACTGAGCTTCAAAAATCATGTTAAAAAATCAACGATCTTTGTCGTTAATGGGTTAAGTATGATAAAAGAATTGAATTTTATAATGTGTATACACTCATGCTCGGTTGGCGCGACATATGACATCACTATTTTAATAGCAAAAATAGATTGTAATAACATTGTTTTGCACAAAAGCTTGATGGGCGCGGATATTGACGCTCTTTTTTTACATTTTGTTAAAAAGATATTTTTTATGGTATATCACGCATTTTATAGTAATCTAGCGTCTTATAAGTAATATGTTGATGTTATGAGATATACTATAATACATATAACTATATATAAACAACTAATAATATACATATTTATAAGTTATTTAATATATGACGTATATATATAGTTGAATTGATATAATTGAATTGATAAGATTGAGCTATGTTAGGACGGATCGGGATGTATTGATGTTTGCAGTGAGTGGTGTAAATTGAAGGAGTGGAGATGAGTGATAATGTGTTTGGGTGAGTAAGTGTTGGGCTATGTTTAATGTTTAGACGTGTCAGAGTGTATTAAGGTATTTGGAGAGTGTGGTGTGGGTGTGGACAATGGGAGTGGGTAGTGATGTATTTGGGTGAATAAGAGCGTGTTGGGATCAGTGTTTCCACCAGAGTGGTCTGAAGTTTTCTTTCCCAAAATTTCCTTTTTTCCCCACTCTGCTTTGAATTTTCCCGTATTTTCCCTCCTATAAAAAAATTTCATTAACCTAGATTTTATTCCCAGACAGCATCATGTCCAAAATCGGGACATAAGACGTCTTTTTAACGTCTTTTAAACGTCTTATGTCCCGTTTTTGGACAATTAAGTGTGCTGTATGGGATTATTTCAAAAGTAGCTCACAATGTAAATTCTTTGTTTTGAAAAAAAAATTTGGAAATTTTATATTTAAAACATTTATTTTTTACTTTTTATAATTAGTTTTAATGTCATCATTCTCAAGGTACACTGGTGCAATAAGTTAGATTGAAACAAATCTAGTTGGTTTCATTTTTACTTGTTGCACCAATGTACACCAGTTCAGGAAGTTCTTTAAAAACAAATAACAGGTCTTTTATATAGTACTAGATAGCAGTCTAGTATAATCAAGAGACACAGTAGTGTCTCGCGCCAAGTACACGCGAACGCACGAGTTGCAAGTACCTGAGATTTTGAGATTTCAATAACGAGTGAACAGATGAAGTTCTAAGTAGGCTTGATCGATAGCTTGGGTTTGAATTATATAATAAAACTGTTTTTGTTTTTCCCCTATATGCCCTACAAGCAGAGAGATATTGCGATGCAAAGTCCAAATTCTGGAAATTTAAGAGAGTCGATATATCGATATATGTACGTGTGCGTACTGCGCTCAGTGCAGTCAGTGCGTTCAGCGCGCTGTCAATCAGTTATAACCTAGAAATAGTGACGGTCGTGACTGTCGCTGCGTAATAGATAGTGAAATATATATTGACGGCAGCCCTTATAAAAATTTTTCACCGTTTTTGGACCGCGAGAACGGTCAGTTTGAGTAGTAAAAACGTGCATTTGGCAATGAGTACGACCCGTTTTTGGGGCGCAAAGGGGCCCTTTTGTTTAAAAACGAGTGGTTAAAGCGGATTGTGTACGATTGCATACTCGCGTATACTCATCATGTAGACTGCGCGTGCTTGAGAGTGCAAGAAACGGACATAAAAATGATAAAACGGGCTAAAAATGATTTATGTAAGGTGTAAAAGCGGTGAAATATTTTTGTAAGGGAGGGAGCTAATACCGAGGAGGTCTTTAGAGCCTGTTCACACAAGGCGTTTCTGCCGCGCGGTTGCCGCGTAGTTGCCGCGCGCTGTCGCGAGGCGAGGTGCGACAACGCGCGCATACGCGCGACGGCGTGCTTATGGATCTAAAATGCCGCAAAGCGTATCGTAGACGCTCGTCGCGCCGTTTCGCGTCAGGCTCCTCGTGAGCGAAGTTCAGTGCGCAACGGGTGTCTCAGCACGGGCGCAATAATATGTATAATAGCTTTAATAGTTTTTTTTAAAACATTTAAATTTATATTGCACTAATTACTGCATAAAATAAATTATTTTATCCATGTACGCATATATCCACTTATTTACTTAAAGAGGTTCGCCTATTAGTCGAAAGTCAACTTAGAGTCTTAATTTTTTTATATGATTTACATAAACACTTTACACAAATAATCCCAAAAGTTGAGCAATATTGACCGTATAGTTTTTTTGTAATATTATTCAGAAGTTGACCACTTTGAGCCTATCGCCTCATGAGAAACGGTCGCTCTGATCTGAGGTAAATGATCACTAATTTAGTACACACTTAGCCAACTTGGGAATTTGAAAAACTAGCATTTGACAGATGAAACATCAAAGATTGCATAAAAATTTTAAAAATAGGATTTTACTCCGTGGATTTAAAGCTTTATTGTCACAAAGTTTACTTTTACCTCGTGGATCGAATTAGTAATGACAGACGTT